CATTGCCTCCAGCTCCCAATCACTACAAACAATTACTTAATGAACATCCTCATACATGTTCCTTTATAGACCTGTATGAAAATCTCCATGGGATATACACCCAGGGTATAACAGCTGGGTCATGGGTATGAATATACTTAATCTGGCCAAGGAATGCCAGAACACCTTTCAAAACAGCCATATCAGTCTACTGGCATTGTGCGATATAATAGATCCTGTAGTCCCTTATGCTCCCAACACTTATCAGTATCTCAGTATCCAATATTTTTTTTTTTTTGAGACAGAGTCTCACTCTGTTGCCCCAGCTGGGGTGCAGAGGCATAATCTCGGCTCACTGCAACCTCCACATCCCAAGTTCAAGCAATTCTCCTGCCTTAGCCTCCCAAGTAGCTGGGATTACAGCCATCTGCCACCACCCCTGGCTAAATTTTTTGTATTTTTAGTAGAGATGGGGTTTCGCCATCTTGGCCAGGCTGGTCTCGAACTCCTGACCTTGTGATCCGCCTGCCTTGGCCTCCCAAAGGGCTGGGATTACAGGCATGAGCCACTGCGCCCAGCCCGGTATCCAATATTCTAAACTTGTCAGTCTAAGAAGTGTAAAGAGATATCTCATTCTTGTTTTCATTTGCATTTTCTGATGTAATATAACTGAGCATCCAGTTATGCTCATTAGCCTTTGGGGTTTCTTCTCTATAAATTGCTTATTCATGAGCTTTCCCCATTTTTTCTAGTGGTTCTTTTTCTTGCTGATTTACGGGAGTTCCTTGTTTTTAGACATTGAAAATATTGGTTTTAGACACTGAAAAATATCTTCTCCCAGTCTGTTAGCCGTCTGTTCATTTGGTTCATGCATAGCAGAAATATGTACGACAGAAATCTTAATTTTTATGTAATCTAATCGATCAGTATTTTGCCTTATGGTTTGGAGTTTTAGAAGTTTTTAAAAAGTCCTTCCCACTTCTAAGTGACAAAGATAGTCCTCTATAGTTTATTCTACTACTGTAAGTCTTTAATTCACTTCCAAATGGATTCACCTCTGTTGTTTTAGATTGGAGTCCAGTTTTATTTTTCGTCATACACTGAACTTTTTTTTTTGAGATGAAGTCTTGATCTTATCCCCCAGGCTGGAGTGTAATAACGCAATCTCAGCTCACTGCAACCTCGGCCTCCCGGAGCTCAAGCCATTCTCCTGCCTCAGCCTCCTGAGGAGCTGGGATTACAGGCAGGTGCCCCCACGCCCAGCTAATTTTTGCATTTTTAGTAGAGACAGGGTTTCACCGTGTTGGCCCAGCTGGTCTCAAACTACAGACTTCAAGTGATCTGCCTACCTCGGCCTCCTAAAGTGCTGGGATTAGAGGCATGAGCCACTGTGCTGGGCCAAACACTTTTTTTTAACTTTTTTATAGGGATTTTTTGCTCAGGCTGACCTTGAACTGGCCTCAAGCATTTCTCCTGCCTTGACCTCCCAAAGTGCTGGGATTATAGGTGTGAGCCACTGTGCCCAGCCCACTGAGCATTTTCTACTAAACACCACATGTTTTCCTCATTGACCTGGGGGTCATCTGTATTATCTTATACTTAATAAATACCCAAATATACAAATCTGTCTCTAATTTCTCTTCTCTGTTTCAATGGTCCATACGCCTGATCTGTTGCCAATATCACTACTTTTATCTCCATGGCTTTACATTATGTCTATATGTGATAGGGTTAGTCCCCCTTTTCATTACTCCTTTAGCATTTTAACTTAAGGCCAGGCACAGTGGCTCATGACTGTAATCCCAGCACTATGGGAGGCCAAGGTGGGTGGATCACTTGAGCCCAGGAGTTTGAGGCTAGCCTAGGCAACAAAACTAGATTCTGCCTGTACAAAATATAAAAATAAAAATTAGCTGGACATGGTGGTATTGTCCCAGCTACTCAGGAGGCTGAAGTAGGAGGATGGCTTGATCCCAGGAGGTCAAGGATGCCGTGAGTGTGACTATGCCACCACTACACTCCAGCCTGGGTGACACAGCAAAACCATGTCTCCCAAAAAAATTTTTTAACTTAGATAGTCATAGATTTTGTTCTTACATCTGTATTTTAGAGTAGGTTTATTACTAAGTTTCTGAGAAAATTTATTTGTAACTTGTATTGGAATTACATTGAGCATGTGAATTAATCATAAAAGACAAGCTTTCTATGTAGAGAAACCTATCAGCCAAGGTTATAGAATTATTTAATTAAATCACACTATGTTCTTGACTGAACTTTAAAATTTTTCTCCAAAGACTTTTCTGTAGTTATCCCAGCTCATGTAGTAATGATAGTAACTCTATATTGTAGGTACTTTTGTTATCATCATTTAACAGATGAGGAAACCGAGCCCAGAGAGATAAATAACTCGCCTAAGAACACACAGCAAGTAAGTAGCGGAACCTGGATTCACATCGTTTAGAGACCATGCTCTTAGCCATTATACTGCCTCTGTAGCTATAATCAGTTACTTCATAGTTTGGCTGCTTCTATAAATGTCATCTTGTTTTTATTATATTTTCTGATGGCTTGCTGCAGATACAAAGAAGATAGCTTGCTTTTTTTAAAGTTGATATGTGTATTGAGTGATGTTGTTAAATTCTCTTCTTAGTTCTAATAGTCTATGAATTTTGTTTTTTTCTTTTTGTATATCAACTGCAAATAGTGACAGTTTTACCTTTTCTTTTCCAATGTTTAAATGTCTAATTTCCTTTTCTTTCCTCATATCATTGGCTGAGACCTCCACGACAATGCTGCACACTGTAAAATAGTGACTGTGGACAAAGAATGTCGCTTACGGAAAAATCACGTACTCCTCAATGAAGGTTTCCGTTTCTCCTTAGCTAGAGCACATGGAGCACATCAGGAAACTGTTTCACAAAAAAATATAGGTTAGAAAGTGTGTCTGGTGGCCAAGAATCCATTTTTAACAGTGGCCCTGTGCTCATCTAAGCAATGGAAATTACTTTTCAATAGGAGATGGCCCTTCCAGGGGAGAAACAGCTCAGATGTGATACACTTGTCTTCATCCTGACTGTAAATACATTCAACTCCACACTAAACTCCTGTGGCCACAACACAGCTCTGTAGCTGTCATTTGCTTCACACAAACCGCTAAATGCAATTGTTTCTGACAATGGATTGCTCTGTGTCCCCATGGGGGAATTCACAGACAGCATTAGAAGGAGCCTTAGAGATCAGCCATCTCTCTTATTTTACACATGCCTAATACTGCCTATGGTGGTGCTTCATCAGCTTCAAGCAGATGAGCCACCCAAAAGGCAGCTCCAGTTATTGGGTCCTGGAGCCTGGGTGTAGTCAAGCCCTTTGGAAGCTCCAAGTCAGAGACCAAACACATTTTCCCCGCTACCCACGCCCAGGGTGACTAATGCCTGAGGGAAAAATAAGTGAACTAAAAAGTCCCACAGGAACCTCAAACACAGCACATCCAGAATGGAACTTCTCACCATCTCCTCCAAACTCAGTCCTCTTATACAGTAATCCCTGCTGCGGGAGCTAGAACAACCTCCATTCCCCATTCTCAGGGCCTTCATCTCCCTTTCTTCTGAGGAGTTACCAAGTCTTGGCTCACAGGCCCCCTGAGAGTCCCTCCTGCCTACCCTGTGTTCTCCATACTGAATAAGGACTTGGCTGACCTTGTCAAGGGTTCCTCTGCTTCACTCCTGACCCCTGGATCCATCCTTCACATTGTGGCTGAAGGATCCTCCCATCATGAAAATTCCGCCACATCTCCCTGGGAAAACCAGAGAAAACCAGGCAGTGGCTCACTCCTGTAATCCCAGCACTTTGGGAGGCCAAGGCAGGCAGATTATGAGGTCAGGAGTTTGAGACCAGCCTGGTCACCATGGTGAAATCCTGTCTCTACTAAAAAAAAATACAAACATTAGCCAGGTGTGGTGGCACGTGCCTGTAATCCCAGCTACTCCGGAGGCTGAGGCAGGAGAATCGCTTGAACCTGGGAGGCAGAGGTTGCAGCGAGCTGAGACCATGCCATTGCACTCCAGCCTGGGTGGCAGAGTGAGACTCCATCTCAAAAACAAACAAAAAACCAGGACGACTCCCCACTACTCTCAGCACAGACTCTCAGCACTACTCTCATACACTCCTTAGTATGGCATTCCCTGCCCTCATGGCAGGGCCCCATCCCGCTCTCCAGCCTCACACTCTGCAAGGACACCCAGACCCCCACCTCTCTCAACCCTCCATGACTGGGCTCTGATCCCTGTTTCCCCTGACTAGACCAGGCATGCCATCCCGCTGGAAGCTGTCTAATGCCTGTTTGTTTTTAACACTCAGGTTGGGGCCCCTGGGAGCGTTTGCTGCCTCCTGGACCCCGTTGCTCCAGCTGAGCGTGGACTCTTTCTCTAGGTCTTTCCTCCCAGGACCCTGTGCATTTATCCCATCGTTCTTTCCCACACAGCCAGCTCTCATCCGTTTTCAGGTCTCAGAAAAGACCCGTGAACAAAACGCATTGAGTCTGATTTAGTGTGACAGTGCCCCTAAGGGTCCGGTTCTCCCTGGGTGTTCTGCGCCCGGCGCAACGTCGGCCTGACATCCAGTGGGCCACCTGAAGGAACGAATGATGAACGAACGATTTGTCCGCCCCTTCCAGAACTAGGCCGGAGGGAGGTCGTGGTGAGGGCCCATCCCTACGCAGGGCATGGACAGCGGGTGGCACTCCTCTCACTGCGGCAGCAGGGGGCGCTGCACGGCTGCGGGGCGGGTGGCTGGGACCAGGGGCGTCGGGCAGAGGCCGGGGCCCAGGGTGGTGGGCGGGGTGTCCCGCCCGCCTGTGGACCCCGCGCAGTAACTGCGAAAATTTCGCTTCCACTTTGGGCGGAGCTGGAGGTGGCGGGGCCGTCCCAAAACGGCTGCGGCCGGGCACCCCGGGAGTTAATCCGAAAGCGCCGCAAACCCCGCGGGCCGGCCGGGCCGCACGTGTCACCGAGAAGCTGATGTAGACAGAGAGAGAGAAAGCAAGAGACCAGAGTCCCGGGAAAGTCCTGCCGCGCCTCGAGACAGTTATAAAATTGTGGCCCCCTGGGTCAGCCTTGCAGCCACCGACCTCACCTGCCGCGGCCACAGGTCTGCATCCAGCGGCTCGCCCAGTGTCCCTGCAGTGCCGGCCCAGCATGTGCCCAGCGCGCAGTGAGTACCCAGCCGGCCCGGGCTCCCGCTCGCTCGGTGCGGAGGGGCGGCTGCCTGGGAAGAGGGGGTAGAAACTCGGGTCTGCCCAAGGAGAGACGGGAGCAGCAGCAGCCGTCTCCTGTAAAGAGGAATAAATAGGGGTCTCACCATGCGCTGAACAGGCAAGTCTCTTTTCATCTCCAAACAGCCTGATGAGCTATCATTATGCCCACTCATAGAGGAGAAACTGAGGCCCAGCGTGGGAGATTTCCTGCCTTCCTGCCTAGGGTCCCTTAGCTACAAGTAGAAGGCAGATCCTAGCCAGCCCTAAAGTCAGGCTTGGCCGGGTGAATGGCTCATGCCGGTAATCCCGGCACTTTGGGAAGCCCAGGCGGGAGCATCACCTGAGGCCAGGAGTTCAAGACTGGCCTGGCCAACATGGCAAAAACCTGTCTCTACTAAAAAAATATGAAAATTAGCAGAGTGTGGTGGTGGGTGCCTGTAATCCCATCTACTCAGGCGGCTGAGCAGGGAGAATTGCTTGAACCAGGGAAGCAGAGGTTGCAATGAGCCGAGATCATGCCACTACACTCCACCCCGGGCCACAGAGCAAGACTCCGTCTTATAAAAACAACAACAAAAAAGTCAGGCTTTCTCACCCCTCTTTTTACAACACTGGGTCCCAAGTCTGATGTAGCCACACCTGGTCTGGGTTTCCCTGATCAAAACATGGAGGCTTTCTCTGGGTGAGCACAGTGTTCAACACCCATGTCCAAGCTCATCCCCAGACCCTCACAGGGAGCTGGCTTCTAGCCCTAGAATAGAGTGGTGCTTAGTGATAACTTGAGTCCTCGAGTCATCTTTCAGGTGTTGAAGGAAAAGTATTGGAAACGGGTGGAGGGAGGATGTCTTTGGATGAGGTGGTGCCAGGCAGAAATGGATGGGCGAAGGTGGCCAGAATGGAGGAAAGGTGGTGCAGGCAGCCCATCCAAGCTGAAGCTCCTCTTCCTGCCCCGTCCCTTCCCTTCCAGGCCTCCTCCTTGTGGCCACTCTGGTCCTCCTGGACTGCCTCAGCTTGGCCAGAAATCTCCCCGTGGCCACCCCAGACCCAAGAATGTTCCCGTGCCTTCACCACTCCCAAACCCTGCTAAGGGCTGTCAGCAACATGCTCCAGAAGGTGAGCTTTTCCTGTCCTTTTCACTGTGCACCTGCACCCTCCCTGAGGAAGGAGCCTCTGGTCCTATCCTCTGGTCCTATCCTCTGGCACCTGATGGAACTGCAGAGAAATTGTGGAAGTTCATTAGTAGCTATCAACAGCAGGAGAGGGAACTTTACAAATGGCCCAAGTGTTAAAGAGTCCTGGTGAAATTGTGTCTCCAGAGAAAGTAAGAGTAGTAATAAATTATAATGATGGTGATTTTGGCTGTGTCTACACAGAGTAAAGTGGATATTTACAGTGTTCCTGTAGCCTGTCAACAGAGAAAGAATTGTGTCAGGTCCACACGGTTTCTCTGACACCACTGATCAATCCCAGAAATAGCATACTCTGTGTTGTGGGGGCAGGGAGTACGAAGATGAAATAGCCTTGTCCCTCCTGCTGCCCACCAGCTTCTACTTGGTGACACAGGTCCTCCTCAGAGCAACACGTCTCGGGGAGGACTGTGACGGCACACATGTAGCCCTCATTTTCTAGGGAAGAGTTACCTAATTTTGTTTACAGCTCTGTTCATTTTTTTTTTAGGTTTCATATTTTAATGCAAAAAACATTTCCTTTAAAAACTGCTCCAATAGTTATTGCTGCAAAGGCTAAAGGCTAGTGTTTTAAAAGATGTCCTCTGCCTGTCTGCTCACTAGGAAATTTTTCTTGAGTATTTTCTAGCTTGTTGCCTTATGAATATCTTAAAATAAGCTCAGTGCCACCAAACCTTCTTAAAGGGCTCTTTTTCCCTTTTAATCTTTCATAATGGGCTGTGCATTGCTCCTCATAATTCAATTAATCTTAATTGGACACAGGGCTTACGTGAAAACTGCTTTGTTTCCTGAAGAAAGGTTCAAAATGGGTAAACTGTACATGCTCCAATTCATATAGATGTATTGTGTGCAAAAGCTGATGCCTCTACTTCCAGATACAGTCCTAAGGGTCAAAAGATTATAGAAATCGATTTTATGTTTTGTGCATCATTTATTTATCAAATTTGCTGCAGTAGAAGACAAAGGAGGTAGATGCTTGTGATTCACAGACAGTATCCAACCCACAGACCATATCCAGGTTTGTAGAGTTTGGGCTTTACGTTTATTTTTTATTTTGATGCCATTCAAAAACCACACATTTCAATTAAGATTTCAAATTTCTAGCTTCTCTTAAAAAGACCTGAAGAACAACACTGGACTCACACCTCCAAATCTCTTTTTAACCTGCTCAGAATAGTGGGATTGTACAGGTCTGTTTAAACATCTCCAGGAATAGTGTATTCATTTCCTACTGCTGCTGTCACAAATTACTACAAATGTAGTGGGTTTAAATGAAACAAATGTATTATCTTGTAGCTCTGGGCATCAGAAGTCCAAAATGGGTCCTACTGTGCTAAAATCAATGTGTCAACAGAGCTGTAGCCCTCTTCTGGAGGCTCTTGGTGAGAATCTATTGCCTTGCTTTGTCAGGTATAGAGGCTGCCACATTCCTTCACTTGTGGCCCCTTCCATTGTCCATATCAGCAATGTCTGGTTGAGTCTTTCTCATGCTGCTCCCTCTGGACTGACCTTCTACCTGCTTCTACTTTTGAGGACACTGCTTACCATGGATTCACCCAGATAATCCAGAATCATCTCTCTACTCCTAGATCAGCTGATTAGCAAATTGAATATCATCTGCACCTTAATTCCTCTTTGGCAAGTCACATAGCACATTACTAAGTTCCAGGGATTGGGAGGTGGATGTCTTTGGAGATGGGGAATTGGTCTACCTACCACAGAAAGGGATTTTACTACTTGTGCCCAAATGTATTCTGCATTTTCAGGCCTTGCTTCTTGGCTCATGCTGTTTCATGTTTTTCATCATGTTTTACCTTTGTCTGGAATCTCCCTCCTCCATTGTCAACATTTTACTTTTTTTTGAGACAGAGCCTCACTCTGTTGCCCAGGCTGAAGTGCAATGGCACAATCTTGGCTCACTGTAACCTCCACCTTCCAGGTTCAAGCGATTCTCCTGCCTTAGCCTCCCAAGGAGCTGGGACTACAGGCAGTGCCACCACGCCCGACTAACTTTTGTATTTTTAGTAGAGACGGGGTTTTACCACATTGGCCAGGCTGGTCTTAAACTCCTGTCCTCGTGATAGCCTGCCTCAGCCTCCCAAAGTGCTGGGATTACAGGCGTGAGCCACGGCGCCTGGCCAGTTTTCCTCCTCTTAATGCAGATGTACCATCTCTAGGAAACTTCACTTCCCTTCCTGCTCCTCCTCCAAAGCTTCATGCCCTTCTCAGCATATCTCGCCTGCTTGTGCCTCCTGGTCATTTGGGCACTTGTCTGTCTCAGCAGCTAAACTTGGAATCCAGGAGGGTATACATGGTTTCCTTCTCTGTCACGTTCTTAGTACCTAATGGAGTGCCTGGCACCCATCAGGCTGTTAAATGGAAAAATGATCATAATCTTCAATCATAAAGTCCTTTATTTCCTAAGATACATTTCATGATTTTACCCAACGGTTTCTAACACACTTTTAAGATGACATCTCTGTGTATGTGTATGTGTATGTGCCTGTGTGCACTGCAAATTAAGTCTCAGCTTGTCTTAAGGGTTTGCATGTTTATTATATCCAACAAGCTGTGACCTTAACAGTTCCCCCTTTTGAAGTGATACTTTAAATAGGTATTCATAGAACAAAATCACTTTAGTAAAAGAAGAAACAGTTTTCACCAGAAGCAAGTGTCACAGTGTGGTATGGAGGCTGGTTAGCATAGGCTGTTGACATGATTTATTGTGTTTACATAATGAAAAAATATGTCATCCAGAGAAACGTCCCAAGCACAGGGAGAGGAGGGTGAGAGACAGAATGTAAGGAATCTATTTCCTTTTGTGTTATGAGGAACCTGAATTTCTTGCAGGTCAAAGAGACAGAGGTCAAGGGCAACCAGCTGGAGCCTGCCTGGCACCCTGGGGTATCAGGCTTGCAGGGTGCCAGGTGCCTTATCAATGTTATAAACTGAGTTTCTTTTTCATTTCTTATAGGCCAGACAAACTCTAAAATTTTACCCTTGCACTTCTGAAGAGACTGATCATGAAGATATCACAAAAGATAAAACCAGCACAGTGGAAGCCTGTTTACCACTGGAATTAACCAAGGTATAGGGGATTTTCCTCCCAAAGCATGTAGTGTGGTTAAAAGCCGTGCATTAAATCTCACCTGCTTCTAAAAATTCACGTTCCTGGTATCCATCATGATGAGACTTTAACTGGTCCTACTTCAGAAGTTAGGTTTGGGAGAAAAATTATAAAAACACAGTTGTGTTTTTTTTTTTTTTGCAACAATATGAATATACTTAACACTTAAAAATAGTTAAGATGGGCTGGGCGTGGTAGCTCACGCCTATAGTCCCAGCACTTTGGGAGGCCGAGGCAGGTGGATCACCATAGGTCAGGAGTTGGAGACCAGCTTGTTCAACATGGTAAAACCCTGTCTCAAAAAAAAAAAAAATAGTTAAGATGGTAAATATTATGATGTGTTTTACCATAATAAAAAAGTTTTACCTGTAAAGTCAGAAAGACTTATACTAAGAATTAACACTTTGATATATGATTTTTTTTTCTCTAGAATGAGAGTTGCCTAAATTCCAGAGAGACCTCTTTTATAACTGTAAGTCAAACAATGAAAGGTTTCAGCTCATATGATGAATTCATATCATTGATGTCTGATTATTTTTTCTTCTAGAATGGGAGTTGCCTGGCCTCCAGAAAGACCTCTTTTATGATGGTAAGACACAGCTCTTTCCTCAAATGCAATGGGGGAAATGTTTTTAGCCCATCTCAATGGATACATCCCCATCTTGTCATGTCACCCAGGCCCTGTGCCTTAGTAGTATTTATGAAGACTTGAAGATGTACCAGCTGGAGTTCAAGGCCATGAATGCAAAGCTTCTGATGGATCCTAAGAGGCAGATCTTTCTAGATCAAAACATGCTGGCAGTTATTGACAAGCTGATGCAGGTAAGACTTCATTCTATCAGTGAGAGCATCTTTTTTATGCTTTTCAGCCAGGGTCCTTGAGGAAGAGGTGGAAAATCAGCTCTTTCTGGATTAGTAGAGGCTTGGAATCACTCCCCCACCCACCTTTTTTTTTTTTTTTCCTTTTGAGACAGAGTGTTGCTGTTGTTGCCTAGCCTGGAGTGCAGTGGCACGATCTCAGCTCCCCACAACCTCCGCCTCTCAGGTTCAAGTGACTCTCTTGCCTTGGCCTTCTGAGTAGCTGGGATTGCAGGCATGCACCACCACACCTGGCTAATTTTGTATGTTTAGTAGAGACGGGTTTCTCCATGGGGTTTCTCCATGTTGGTCAGGCTGGTCTCGAACTCCCGACCTCAGGTGATACACCTGCCTTGGCCTCCCGAAGTGCTGGGATTACAGGCATGAGCCACTGCGCCCGGCCATCCCCCACTCATGTAAAGGCCTAACAGACCTACATTTTCAAGGAGACACCCTTGAGGGTGCCCTCTATAGGGAGCACAGATGTGAGCAGATCACATTAAGAGCAGACTCCAGATTACATTAACAAAAGCAAACTCTAGGCCAGGCGCAGTGGCTCACACCTGTAATCCCAGCACTTTGGGAGGCTGAAGAGGGCAGATCACAAGGTCGAGAGATAGAGACCATCCTGGACAACATGGTGAAACCTCGTCTCTACTAAAAATGCAAAAATTAGCCAGGCATGGTGGTGTGCACCTGTAGTCCCAGCTACTTAGGTGGCTGAGGTAGGAAAATCACTTGAACCCAGGAGGTGGAGGTTGCAGTAAGCTGAGACAGTGCCACTGCACTCAAGCCTGCTGACATAACAAGACTCCATCTCAAAAAAAAAAAAAGAAAACCAGACTTCAAAGTGTTGATTCTGTGGTATGCCCCACACTCTGTAAATGTTTTTGTGCATTTTCTTATGTCAGCCTCAAAACAACCACATGTGGTCTGCACAAAGGAGAGAACCAAACCTTAAGAGAGTTAAACCACTTGTCTGAGGCTCTGCCTCTTAAAATCCTTCAAGAGGATTTCACTACACTTACCTTCTCACTCACCTCTTAAGGCTCCAGGATATGCACGCAGGGGGCCAGCATGCATATCTGCAAATATTTCTGGGAAAACAAGCAGGATTGGTGCCTGATTATGACCCATTGTGAACCAAATAAAAGAATGACCTATAATCTGGGGCATCTATAATGTTTTTCATAGGCACAGCTTGCTTTGTAATGTTCTGAATCACCATAACACGGTGCGAATATAAAACAGACATATTCACATAAGAGAGGGTGATTGCCTTGGTGACTGGGACATGGAATAAAAATATAGTGGCAGAAATCATTGTCTGGAAAGTAACTGATTTATTCTTTTCTTGTGTGTGTGTGTCTGTGTGTGTGTGTCTGTGTGTGTGTGTCTGTGTGTGTGTCTGTGTGTGTGTGTGTGTGTGTGTGTGTGTGTGTGTGCCAGATTACTTGTTTGAAAGGCAATGAGCTTTATGCAAGTATCAAAGAATGTTACCATCTGGAGAGCTGTAGCGGCTCTTTTATTTTTAAGACCAAGAGTTGGGGGATTTGGGTGTTAGAATCAGTTCTACCAGCAACCAGACAACTATGCCCAAGTCACTTAACCCCTCTGTGCCTCAGTTTCCTCCTGTATAAAATGGGGTGACTTTATCTATTCTAGCTTTCTTTCAGGCTTTTTGTGAGGAACATATGAAAGTATTTATTCATCAAGGGTGCAAATATAAGGTTTTACATTGCGTTGTCAAATCAAAGTGCTAAACTTGGGAAATCCATTGCCAGGTTTATTTATCTGACGCAAATGGCATGTCTTCAGTAAACAGGCCTGTTACTGAGTTCTGATCGGTAGCAATCCATCACCTCCCTGTGCTAAACAGAAGTGGCTTTTTAATGTAACATATGTATATTTAATTAGATATTGCAACAGATGTCATTTTAAAGGAACTGTTCCTTTCTAAAACACAACTCCCACTGATGATTCTTTTCCTAAATAGTTTTCAGGGTCTTTTCAGAGCTCATTGAAGATGCATGTGTTTGTAAAGGAGTATTTATTTTCTCAAGCTCTGCCTGGCGACCTGCCTGACAATAGATTTGGGCTGGGTTTAGGAGTGGAATGAGGGACTGAGTTGCAGGCTTTGAGACATGTACTGGCTTCACACATTTTTATAAATGAATATTTTAATTTTGGAATACTATGTAGGTCACACTTACTGTTCATTCTCCTAGGCCCTGAATTTCAACAGTGAGACGACGCCACAAAAATCCTCCCTTGAAGAACCGGATTTTTATAGAACTAAAACCAAGCTCTGCATACTTCTTCATGCTTTTAGAATTCGGGCAGTGACCATTGATAGAGTGATGAGCTATCTGAACGCTTCCTAAAAAGCGACGTCCCTCCAGACCATTGCCATTTTTATAAGAATTTGAAATGAAGAAATTTTGATAAGGATGTGGATTAAGAACTAGGGAGGGGGAGTCTTGACTGGGCCCTACTTAATCTCCTATAGGAATTCTCATGCTTATATTTACAATAGTGTACCACCAAAATGTGAAGGATGGGACTATTACATTCACATGATACCTCTGATCGAGTATTTTTCACATTTACTGTGGATAAATTGTTTTTAAGTTTTCATAAACAAATTGCTAAGGAGGGAAAATGTCCATCCTGAAAATGTTTTTCATTCACTTTAATAGAAGAGCAAGGATTTATAAGCTATTTCTGTACCAAAGTGTTTGTAGAAACAAACATGTAAGCATAATTTATTATAAAATATTTATTTATATAACTTTGTGATCATGAATGTATCTGAACTAACTTATATTTATTTATGTTGTATTTATTAAATTATTTATCAAGTAGATTTGAAAAATATTAAGTGTTCTGAAAATAAAATTATTGAATTAAAGTGATTCTCCTATTTTTTAATGTACTTTTAAGTGTTAAAATACACATTGTGGGAAAACTGAAAACTCTGATGAGACTTCAACACAATTACTTTGGAAAGAACGCCACAATATTCTTATTCCTTTCCTAGTTCCTTTCATCTCATTTTTAAAGGGACCCTAGTAAGACAAGATATGCTTTACCACTAAAGCAGCCAAGTGAGTCATGGTTTTTGAGAGTTTATTATTTTTGTTCAACATGAGTCTAAAAGTATGCAGGGCATTAAACAAATACATCGTAATATTCTTCAACCAGAAAAAAAAAAAGTCACTAAGAGGTCTTCTAGCCTAATTATTCTAATGTTCATGACCCTTTGGGCTCTGAGAGAAAAATTGTCTCTGATTTACAACCAGAAAAATCCCTCCAATTACCTAAAATTATACGGAACTTTTGCCCGAACTACATGGATAATTGCTTTACTTTGGCTTAAGAGATGTGCTCTTAGTGAGCTAAATGTTAAATTCCGTCTTTTTAATTCTCTAAACGAGGGTCCCCAACTTCCAGGCCACTGACTGGTACTGGTCCATGGCCTGTTAGGGAGTGGGCCCCACAGCAGGAGGTGAGTGGCAGGTGAGCAAGCATTACTGCCTGAGGCCTCCTGTCAGATCAGCAGCAGCATTAGATTTTCATAGGAACTTGGACCCTATTGTGAACTGCACATGCAAGGGATCTAGGCTGCATGCTCCTTATAAGAATCTAAGTAGGCTAGGCACGATGGCCCATGCCTATAATCCCAACACTTTGGGAGGCTGAGGCGAGCAGATCACAAGGTCAGGAGCTCGAGAGAAGCCTGGCCAATATGGTGAAACCCCGTCTCTACTGAAAATACAAAAATTAGCTGGGTGTGGTGGTAGGCACCTGTAATGCCAGCTACTTGGGAGGCTGAGGCAGGAGAATTGCTTGAACCAGGGAGGAGGAGGTTGCAGTGAGCTGAGATTGTGCCACTGCACTCCAGCCTGGGCAACAGAGCGAGACCCTGTCTCAAAAAAAAAAAAAAAAAAAAAAAAAAAAAAAAAATCTAAGTAAAGCCTGATAATCCAAAGTGGAATAGTTTCATCCTGAAACTATCCTTGCCCCCTGCACCACCCCACCATCACCGGCTCTGTGGAAAAATTGTCTCCCACAAAACCAGCCCCTGCTGCCAAAAAGGCTGTACTGCTATAACAGAGTAGCAGAGACTGGGTCATTTGCAAAAAACAGGGATTAATTTTTTTACTACTCTAGCGGTTAGGAAGTCCAAGAACAAGGAGCTAGCATTTGATGAGGGCCTTTGTGCCACATCATCACATGGTGGAAGGTGAGAGAGAGAGCAAGGGGGTGCTGAATATGTCCCTTTCTAAGGAACCCACTCCCATAACAAGAGCATTAACCCATTCAGCAGGGCAGAGTCCTCATTGCCTAATCAACTTGTAAAGGTCCCACATCTTTATACTGTTACAATGGCAATTAAATTTCAATGTGAGGCCGGGCTCAGGGGCTCACGCCTGTAATCCCAGCACTTTGGAAGGCCGAGGCAGGTGGATCACCTGAGGTTGGGAGTTCAAGACCAGCCTGGCCAACATGGTGAAACCTCATCTCTAATAAAAATACAAAAATGCTGGGCACGGTAGCTCACGCCTGTAATCCCAGCACTTTGGGAGGCCAAGGCAGGTGGATCACAAGGTCAGGAGATCAAGACCATCTTGGCCAACATGGTGAAAGCCTGTCAAAAAAAAAATTAGCCGGACATGATGGTACATGTCTATAATCCCAGCTACTGGGGAGGCTGAGGCAGGAGAATCACTTGAACCCGGGAGGCAGAGGTTACAGTGAGCAGAGATCCCACCACCGCACTCCATCCTGGGCAACAGAGCAAGACTCAATCTCAAAAAAAAAGAAAAAATTCAATATGAGTTTGGGTGAGGACACACCATACTCAAACCATAGCAATTCACCTGACAGAATACAATGTAATGTTAAGGCTTTGATAATCCATTCCTCCTTAATAGAAAAAGGACCTAAAACACACACTATTTAGAGTGACCCCTTTCCTCAGTTACTCCTCCCAACTGAATCCCAATCTTTATCCCTGTGAATTGGGAGGAGAATGCATTATCTTTTTCCCAGGTCCTCCTGCATGACGAACTTTCTTGTTTTTCAGATTCTTGCCCTATTAGACATTCAGTAAAATAGGAATCATCAGAAGCTACATCCCATCACCTATCTCCTTTTCTTGAGTGATTCCTCCACAATCTTGAGTGCTCTGCAAGTGATTCACAGACATGGGTTTCTTTCAAATGTCAAGCCTGGGGTCTCAGCAGCTTTGACGGTGAGAAGAGACGAACGTGGCTGTAGAGTTGCCGCCAATCCTCACTGGGAATGGTGATTACTGGTTGTCTGGGCCCAGAAATAAGGAGGGATAACGAGATTGTGTCTTCCATGGACTGGATTTATACACAAGAATACATGTGTTTCTTCTGTTCTAGAAATTAACATGAGATATGCTTCAAAAACATGACTGGCCACAGAAACACCTCCATGATTAAGTCTTTTTTTTTTTTTTGAGACAGAGTCTCGCTCTGTCACCCAGGCTGCACCCAGGCTGGAGTGCAATGGTGCAATCTTGTCTCACTGCAACCTCTGCCTCCCAGGTTCAAGCGATCCTCCTGCCTCAGCCTCTCAAGTAGCTGGGACTACAGGCACGCACCATCACACCTGGCTAACTTATGTATTTTTAGTAAAGACGGGGTTTCACTGTCTTAGCCAGGATGGTCTCAATCTCTTGACCTCATGATCCGCCTGCCTTGGCCTCCCAAAGTGCTGGGATTACAGGTGGGAGCCACTGCACCCGGCCCATTCTTTATTATATGTTAATTTTCCCTTTTTTTTTCTTAAGGCTGGGTCTGCATTTTACAAGTTGTGTAGTGTGCTTGCGACCAAATTGTTCCAACGCTCCCCATTGGTTTTCTCTTCTGAAAAAGGAAGGTAGTACTATAACCTACCTCAAAGGATCAAAGAAAGGGTAAAATGGAACAACTCATGCAAAGGACTAGCATTGCACCTGGCATATAGTAACTGCACAATACATGTAAGCAAATTTTGAAATGTATGATTGGTCTTTGGGTTTGGCACCTGCACCAAATTGGTTACACCCTCTTTGCTGCTATTTCCTCACTGATGAAATTCAGAAAACTGTGGGACCTAATTAACTGTGTTATTGTGAAGACTAAATAACACAATGCAGTGCCAGCACCTAGTTATTACTTAACATAAATTTGTTAAAGCTCCCACAGTGCTTCAGAACACCTCGCTGATGTACTGTGCCCCCATGGCACACAGCATATTATGAGTGGTTGGCACAAGCATCTGCCTGGTGTGAGGTATGAGGGCAAAAGGCAGGATCCCTGTCTTCCAAGAACAAGGGATGGGGAGCAAAGGAACTTTCTTATTTTTTTTTTTGAGATGGAGTTTCACTCTTGTCACCTAGGCCAGAGCGCAACGGTGAGATCTCGGCTCACTGCAATCTCTACCCGCCAGGTTCAAGCCATTCTCCCGCCTCAGCCTCCCAAGTAGCTGGGATGACAGAAGCCCACCACCATGCCTGGATAAATTTTGTATTTTTAGAGATGGGGTTTCACCATGTTGGCCAGGCTGGCCTCAAACTCCTGACCTCAGGTGATCTGCCAGCCTTGGCCTTCCGAAGTGCTGGGATTACAGGCGTGAGCCACTAAGCCCGGCCAGGGGCAAAGTAACTTATCAAAACCAAGGACTGCCCCCATCTAAAAATACTCCCCAGTCAACTGGAGATTCACTTGATTAACAAATTACTTTTCAAAAGAAACTAAACCTTGAAAGTGTATCTCACACCTAAGAATGACTGAATTACAGAATTAACATGAAAAATATTTAGCTGTCAGCTGCCCCATTGAAAGTCCAGGATTTTGGGGAGACAGAACAGTTCTAGGACATGGTCTGGCCAGACATCCAAAGGTGGGTATTGGAAAACTCAAGAGATGTAAAAGACCCTTAGACACCCAGAGGAAGATAAGAAACTAAAGACAAGGAGAAAAGAACACCAGCTTTATCGGGGGCCAGCACCAACAGCCATCATAAGTCCTCTTCCCTGTGTCACGCTGGCCATTAGTTATTATCCTTATTTGAGGAGTAAAAACTTGGTTCTGGCTAGCATAATTTGGCTTCCTAGCTTAAAGCAAACTGCATTACAGTATGTTAAGTAAGAAAAAAGTCCAGCTGCATTTCCCAACAACTGAATTCTATGTACTCGAAATATTTTATTTAAAAAAGTGAAATAGGATGTGTATAAACTTTTTGAAATGTATTTGGTGAGAACAAGCACAAAAGCTTTAGTTACATTTATGTATCTTTCAATTTTACATTAAAAATATGAGTATGAATTAGATCTATGTAATATCAAAAACAGTATATTTATGGAATCTGTTTTAGACAAAGAAAGTAATAGCAACTGTTGAATTGTGATTCCTAAATGCCAGGCATGTTCCTAAGAGTTTACCACAAATAAATATAATCATCCTAATAACCCTTTTTATGGAGGTCGAAAGTGAAGATTATTTACGTTGGCTGGGCGTGGTGGCTCATGCCTGTAATCCCAGCACTTTGGAAGGCCAAGACGGAGGATTGCTTGAGCCCAGGAGTTCAAGACCAGCCTGACCAACATGGCAAAATCCCCATCTCTACAGAAAATAAAAAGAAAAAATAATAAGATTATGTAAGCTCACATCATTAACATCTTGAGTTGCTTGGTCTCAGCCTATGCCAGCAGTTACGCTTATGTTAAAATCACTGTAAGCAAAGGGAACGCTTTCCCCATAACCATATAAATATCATCC